GGTATTGCGATCTTTTGCGAGACCTTCTCGGAGCTCCCGGCGTTCTACTTTGCCGATACGATCATCGCCAAGCTCGGGACTGTCAAGGTGCTCGCGATCTCGATTTTGGCTTATGGCGCGCGGCTCACGTGTTATGCGCTCATGACGAACGCGTGGATTGCGCTGCCGTTCGAGTTTCTCCACGGCTGCACCTTTGGTCTTGCCTGGGCGGCGTGTACCAAGTACATTTACGATGCCGCTCCACCCGGCACCAAGGGTACCATGATGGGCGTCTTGAGTGCGGTCCAGAACGGACTTGGCCGTGGCGTCGGCACGTTGGTCGGCGGGTATCTCTACAACACGTACGGCGCGAGCTTCATGTGGACAGTCACTGACTGCGGCGTCCCGCTCGCGCTTCTTGGGCTCTACCTCTTTTCGTGTACGATCGACGAGACGTCGCAGCCCGTGCCAAGCGATGATGATGGCGCATCGATCCAAAAGTCGCCAAGCGACAAGGACCACCTCCTCGCGTAAGCGATTTTGAAGCATATACATTTTGGTTCATAAACCTCGTTCCCTTGTGAATGTCCACTACGACTGGCTGAAAAGCGATCCAATGCAACGAATGGGCCAATGAGATGCGGGTTCCCTGCCATAGGATTTGCCACGTCAGTGACACGGCCACTCGAATTGATGTACGATCACCATCACCTTGGTGCGGCGCGACACCGAATGCAGCAAACAGCGGTTGTACAGCGCTGGCGTCGTCGTTTCGGCGTAGGATAGTGCATGCGATCCTTTTCAAGCTCGTGCCCCGGCGCGCCAATGCAAGTACATGTATTGAATGCCATGTCGTACCTCTAGCGTCCAACCGATCGGGCGCAAGACAAACTTGTCCCGTCGTGTCCTTGTCGTTAGTACAATTGTACTAGTACCAGCACTTCGCCAAGGCTCCCTTGGCCCAAGAAGTTTGACTGGTTTGTCGACGCTTTCGAGCGACTATTTTGCTAGCATAGATCGAACGAAAGGAGCAAATGGATCATTGGAACGATGACGGCGGCTCATTTTGGTACTAGGAAGACTGCTCCCAATCCAACTGAACTGCAGAATCAGAGTGATTGAATGGTCGTTTTCACAGCTCGTTCAGCGGCTTGCAGGCGTGCCTTCAAGGCGGTGCTCGGAGCCCCGGTCCGCGTCGCTGGTCCTCATAGACACAGTGCAACTACTAATCGCTTGTTACATCATGGGTACCTCTTCAAGTTCAACAGGCAACTTGCGAATCCAGCTGCGACATTGTGTCTGTTATCCGTATCCGGATAGGCAAACAACGGGCGGCCTGGTCGTGCGATCCGGATCGGATCGCCGACGAGCCTTTGCGACGACCGCGAGCTTCTACCGCGGAGACGTTGAAGCGTCCGTCGCTATGTGCGCCCAATGTACCTCGTTCTTTGAATAGAAAGTACCTTGAACGGGATCCATACCCAACGAGAGACGTCAACAGAAAGCACACTAACTGCTTGTCGTTGCAGGACATCCTGCGATGCGCCGTCGTCTGTAACGTCTTCTGGCGGGAACGTGTCGAATGTTACTTTCCGACATCGCTCCGGCGTGCAGCGTGTGTATTGAGTGGTCGGCATGGTCGAGCGAACGTACTGGAAGGAGCTCCTTCCCGCCAAGCTCGTCTACGTGCTCTTCAACGTCGGCGCGAGCTCGGTCCAGAACTTCCTCCCCGTCTACTATAGCACGTACTTCAACAAGTTTGAAATCGGCCTTCTCCAGACGATCCCATGCCTCTGCTCGCTCCTCGCGCCGCCGCTCTGGGGCGCAATCGCGAGATCTGCTCCAGAAGCAGCGCCTTGTGCACATCATGTGCCTTGTCTCGACGTCGATGCTCATGTATTCGATTCAGTTT